GGAAAAATTCTAGTTGGTCTTAATGTACAGTTTTTTTTAATATGCTACTGAATTCAGTTTGTTAATACTTTGTTGATGATTTTTGCATTGATAATTATCAAGGATATTGGCTGTAATTTTTTTGCAATATCTTTGTCTTGTTTTAGAATCAGGGTAATGCTTGCTAGAATGAGTTTGGAAGTGTTTGCTCCACAATTTTGGGGGGAAGAGTTTGAAAAAAATAGTGTTAGTTCTTACTTAAGTGATTGGTGGAATTCACTCACGAGGTTTAGTCTCCTTTCTAGTTATGGTTTTACTTAGGTTTTATGTTTTTTCATGATTTAGTCTCAGTAGGTTTTGTATACCTAGAAATTTGTCCATTCAGGTCTCTAGTATTTAATTTGTTGGCCTCTAGTTGATTTAGTTCTATCTCATAATTCTTTTTCTTGCTGTAGAATTGGTAGCAATGTCCCCACTTTCATTTCTGGTTTTAGTAATTTGAGTCTTATTTTTTTTTCTTAGTCGCTTTGGATAAAGGTTTGCCAATTTTTTTTTTTTTTGTAGAGACAGAGTCTCACTTTATTGCCCCTGGTAGAATGCCGTGGTGTCACAGCCCACAGCAACCTCCAGCTCCTGGGCTTAGGCAATTCTCTTGCCTCAGCCACCTGAGTAACTGGGACTACAGGTGCCACCACAATACCCGGCTATTTTTTTCTTGCAGTTTGGTCAGGGCTGGGTTTGAACCCACCACCCTCTGTATATGGGGCCGGCGCCCTATCTACTGAGCCACAGGCACCCCCCAGGTTTGCCAATTTTTATAATCTTTTGAAAGAACCACCTTTTAGTTTTGTTGATTTTTCTCTATTGATTTGGTTTTCTCTATTTTACTTATGTTGCCTCCTAATCTTTATTATTTTCCTTTTTCTGCTAGCTTTGGCTTTAGTTTTTCTCTTTTTGTAATCCCTTAAGTTGTAAAGGTAGGTTGTTGAGATGAGATCTTAACTTTCTTTTTTTTTTTTTATTTTCTTGCTTTTTTTTTTTTTTTACTTAGTCTAATACCAGTACTGAGAGATCATTGTTGTTTGGCAAGGCTAGGTTGAATTCGAACCCACCAGCTCCAGTGTATGTGTATGTGGCTAGTGCCATGGCCACTGAGCTACAAGCGCCGAGCCATTTCTTCTTTTTAATATAAGTGTTTATAGCTGTATATTTCTCCTATAGTACTGCTTTTTCTGTATCCCCTAAATTTTGGTAGGGTGTTTCATTTTCATTCATTGCTATCTATTTTTTAATTTACCATATGACTTCTTCTTGGCCCCTTTGGTTGCTTAAAATTATATTGTTTAATTTCCAAGGATCTGTAAATTTTTCAGTTTCCTTGTTATGAATTTCCAACTTCATCCCATGTGGTGGGAAAGATATTTTTTATGATGTTTTTTTTATGATCTTTTTTTTTTTTTTTTGAGACTGAGTCTCATTTTGTGACCCTCTGTAGACTGCTGTGGCATCACAGCTCACAGCAACCTCCTACTCTTGGGTTCAAGCGATTCTCTTGCCTCAGCCTCTCAAGTAGCTGGGACTACAGTCACCCACCACAATGCCTGCCTTTATTTTTGGTAGAGACGGGGTCCCACTCTGGCTCAGGCTGGTCTCGAACCTCTGAGCTCAGGGCAGTCCTCCCACCTCAGCCTCTCAGAGTGCTAGGATTTCAGGCACGAGCCACCACACCCTGCCTGATGTTTGTCTTTGTAAATCTAAGGAGGTTTAATTTATGCTCTATCTTGAGGAATTCTTAGGTGTACTTGAGAAGAATATATATTCTGTGGTTCTTGGGTGAAGTGCTCTGTATATGTTCGGTAGATCTAGTT